GCACACATGCACATAGTTATGTACACATGTGTGCACAGCTTGGAGACACGGCTGCAGGAAATTCGAGCACAACCAGCAGTCAACGAGCTGCACTAAAAACGGACCCGCTGTAGCAATGAACTTGAAAAACGTGCTCCTACAGCAAAATTTCGCAATAGAAAACATTTGACAAACATAAAAATTACGGCACACAAGCGACACATTGAAAGGAAAAAGCATTTAAAATAAATATTTACTATATAAATAAAATTTTATTTCTTATGAGTAAACGTAAAAAAAAATTAAGAAAAATATATAAATAAAATTAAACAAGTAAGGTAGGGCTAGTACAGAGGAAACCGTACATTTTATACTCTTGTATATATGAGGCTCAAAGCGCGCGAAATATTGTCAGGTGTTGACAGAACTTTGTATTAAACATGAAAAAACATTAACTTCGATTGCACCGAAGCTATAAAACCCTTCACAAATACAAAAGTTTCCATACAAGAACTTGATTTTGATCGGTCAATTTATATGGCAGCCATATGCTATAGTGGTTCTAAGGTATTTATTTAGAAAGTTGAAGTAGTTTTTATAGTTTTCAACATTATAATCATTATACTTACTATATGCGGGTTTTCCTCTATTTTCACCTTGTTTAAGGGTGAGCTCAAAAGGCTTGTTCTTAGCAATTAGATTTATTGTGATATGTACACCAAACTTAATAAAGGAAGGGGCTCCACTTTTTAAAAAATTTTAAACCACAAATGCCCCACTTTACTGCGAGTCGCTGTATCAAATTACAGTTTAATATCTTCCTTTGCGGATTAGTTATAGTATTTCATGGGTTTTGGATTTGTGGGCGTGGCAGTGGTCCAATTTCACCCATTTGCAATAACAATCTCTTTTGGGTGCCAAGGAATATGTGTACCAATTTTCAGTAATATATAGTATTTTTACTCAATTTATCGCTAGCACGGACGGACAGACAGTCTCTCGGAATTCAACTCGTCTTGCCATCCTGATCATGTATATATATAACCATATCGAAACAGATTAGTTTTAGGCGTTAGAAACCATTGTCAGGCGAACAAAACTATTATACTCGTACTATCTGTTGCAAAGTGTTGCGTGAATATAAAGATCATGTATACATATTTCTCAATGAAAATGAAATTTCAATTGCGACGAGTGCATGAAAGAAGGAAAAAATAAAGCACTCTAAATTATACCACGCATACAGCGCGCGTCAATTTCCAACAAGTTCGTTGTTTAAGTCTTTTGTTTACCACCGCTGCGCGGCGTTGACGTTGGCGATGGATAACGCGTGCAAATGAGACAATCGATAACGCTGTTGTTAGCACTGTTAGTGTGGCTATTGCTTCAAGCAATCAAAAAATAGTTATTGATCTTATTATTGTATTTTTCATTGTTGAAGTTGGTGATTCTCTTTTACTAAAAATTTTTCTGCCTTTACTATTGTTTACTTTGAAGCGCAGTGCAAAACGGTGATCACCGAAATTATCATAAGCTCTTTGAAATAACGCTAGTTGTTACATTTTTTTCAACAATCGGTGACTGTTGCTGCTGCTGCGCATTGTTGACAAATAGCCACCAACATTATCGCGGCATATCGAAACCCCATTGTGCGCGCGCGCGCATTTGCACACGCAAACACATACATAAGTGGCGAAAGAAAGAAAAAATATACCTTGCTTGGCCCATTTCTGGTTTATGAGTTTCTAATGAGGAAACGTGGTGCTTCAATAATTTCGCTGCCTTTTACATAAAAGGCCCAGTTTGCAGCTCGTTCGCGGTTTAATGAAATTCAAAAATATCTCACTCATGCGATTTTGTTGTAGCGCTGGATAAAACACAAAAACAAGAAATTATATGTAAAATTATAAAAAAAAATATAAAAAAAACTCTGCTGGAGCTTCTCGAACATATTGGCGTGCACCTGTTATATTTTTTACTGAGTTTTCATCGAATGGTCGGCACTTTTGTCTTAGTTTCAGCGCCGACGTTGATTTTGTTGGCTTGTTGCACGCGATAAAAATAAGATTGGCATTTAACAACAATTTGAATCAGATATGTAAATAGAGAATTAGCGGAAATACAAATACAACTACCTTACTAGATTTGTTGCAAATGTTGCAGAAAATACAAGTGGATTGATATATTCAACAAATTTAATTTGAATTACGTAATCTGTTAATGAGTAACAACCAGTTGCTGTATTTTTATAACATAAACTTATTATTACACTGCTATTTTGTAAGGCTGCTGGTATATAGTTGCTGGTCTACTTGCCCTGGCTACTATATCAAGACTTTGCATTGCATATGACTACTGGCTGCATATTTTCAACAGAAATTATGAAACGAAGCAAAGGTGAGTTTTAGAATTCACTTTGTATATTTTGTTCAATTGAAAACGTTCGTAAATATCAAAAAAGTTACACGAAATAGGACAAACCTTTGGTTGCACCGAAGCTATAAGGGGGTATTCTGGTTTAGAAGCCCGAATTTTTGGCTCTTTTTCAGACCCGTTAAAACAAAAACAAGAAATATGTTTACGATATTTTTTTACCAAAAAAAAAAATTTTCAAAAAATTCCAGGCCGGCATAGTGGGGCCTGATGAAAAAATGGCGTGTCCTGGTGTGCAGGATATCAGGACTCCCAGTAATCCTTAAAGAGGAAGGATGTAGTTATAGCATTACGAGAGGATTTTGGCTGTTAAAGCTCGTGCCGAAATGACAGTCGATTTGGTCGGCACATCACAAAATGAGCTGTAACTCCGAAAATAATTGAAATTTCGTATCTGTGTAAAGAGTTATACTACAATAATATCCAAAAAAAAAACAATATTTTTAAATTTCTAAACTAGGATACCCTCTTAATATCCTTCACAGTGCTTGTTTTATTGCATAAAAGGGTATAGAGTAAAAAGATCTTTATCTTGATTTTGATCGATTAGTTTGTTTGGCAGCTATATGCTATATTGGTCTAATCTGAACGATATGTTTGAAGACTAAATCGATGCTTTTGGCAAAAATCCACGCCAAATATGGTGAAGATATCTTATCAAATAAAAAAGTTTTTCATACAAAGACTTGAGTTAGAAGGGTCAGTTTGTATGGCAGCTATATGCTATAGTTGTTTGATATTGGCGGTTCCGATCTTGTTAAGTAAAGAACGTGTACAAAATATCATATCGATATCGCAAAAACTGAGGGACATTCCAAAAATCCTAGCAAAATTAATATACCCAAAGGTCAAAAATAATATAACATAATATATTTTCCTTAAATATATTGAATTATCCAAAGCTCAGAAAATATTGTAAGCAACTAGTTTTGAGCAGTTACGTGATTTTAACATTTCTGTATATTATATATAATAAGAGCTGGTAGTTAAAGATAATAAATAACAAAGGGCGACTGGCTACTGAGATCACCTGTCGATAGCCATTAATCTATTCCATTTTTTTTCATTCATTTTCCAGTAAGCCCATAACAAACATATGCTTTCAAAGTTTTTATACTTTTAAAGAAAAACGAAATTTTTTAACTTTTTCCAGTGCTCATTCTTTTGAGAATAGAAATATTCTCCTGTGACCAGTTTGGTAGAATATGGATGCAATTTGAAGTACAAAAGTTTCTATTGGTTTTATGATCTATTGTAATATAAAAATATTTTATCATTCAATCTATCGAATTCTATAAAGGTAAATGGTTTTACAAACAACGGTTATTTGCATTGAAATATTTTACTCTATGCAACATATTTTAAGTGCCTTTATTACACCAGTTTGTAACCCGTTAGTTATTTAATTTCTTTTGTTATTCTCTCACTTCTCTCTACTTTCTCAACCTCCCCGACCCTACTACCAAATTAAACTTAAGGTTAAGGAATTCGCTTTACCGATTGGTTTCCGTAGATATAACAAATAAGTTGTTCAATATCCATGAACTTCTTTGAATTGAAATCACTCGATAGGGACCTTTGTCAAACTGTTTCAAAAGCAAATTGACCAAAGATTTAATCGACAGATTCATAAAATTAGTTTTTTTGTTTTATAATTTGTAAATCTACACGTGATGAGTCAGTTTTAGATTTGATAAGCAATTGGTAAAAGTTACTCTTTGTTAGAAATTTTTTTAGAAATTTATTTGGGTTGGAACCATACAGGAGACTCAGAAAAAACGTGAACGAAATGTTTTTGACTGAAGACTTCCAGAAACACCTCAAAGAAAGTCGATGATCGTGAAAAGAATTCACAGAACCACTTTTTACCCACATATTTCTCTATCGGTTCTTAAATAACTAAAAGCATAAACTTCCTTGCTTAAAAAAATGTCTAGAAGAAAGACTAACTAGCCATACCAAGGGGAGATTAATAACTAAAACTCATCAATCTCAGGTGAACTTAAAGTGTGGGGTTTTATGAAAAAATCGATTTTTCTTTTGTTCATTAAAGTATATTTTCCACGGCCGACGGATGCGATAACGGTTCAAATTCAGCTTGAGTTGAGAAACAAGCACTTTATTAGTTTAATAAAACATGGCAGGCGAAAGAATCTTCGGGCAAGTTGCTCCAAGAGATTGACTTACAATCATCACAAAAATAAACATCGAATTAATAAACCAATTTTTCAAGGAACTAGACTTAAGCAGGAAAATCTAATAAAAAAAAATATACATAAATCAAAATAAATAAATTGTGCACGTGACAAACACCATAATATAACATAATAATAATAACAATACCATTTCGAAAAACTGAGCCGTAGGCCCTGGCAGCCAGTGTTCTCTTTATTTAGATAATATATTTGTATACTATATCTCAATTGAATAAATAAATAAATAAATAAAATAAAACATGGAAGTAAACTAGAAGTAAAAACTCAGTGAAACTCTATCCTCCCAACATTTTCAAAAAATTATTTCTAAATTCATGGCTTATTCATAATTTACCAATGTTTAAAAAGAAATGTATTTTACTTTTATTATAGCTCCCTATATTCCACCTAAATAAAATATGGGACAGGAGATATCTCAGCAAAAGAAATGCAGCATTATTAGTCGACACAAAACACACCAACAAACACCGCAATCTCTCCAACCGCAACCACAACGAGGCGCAACAAAAAATCTAAAACCTTCCACTAATTTCACAACGTCCAACGGCAAATACACCAGACACTCACAAGAATTCCAAAGCGTCTACGCACCTTCCTCCAATATCTCGACGACCTCTTCCAGCTCCACCGACGACGAGCACTATCGGCTACGACAGAAATACAATCTGAATAAGCAAACTTATGAGAAATTCCGAGCGTCGAAAAAACTCAGTCTCATCAGCAGTACCACAGATCAGAGCACTAGCACCAGCAATTCCGCGTCGACCAATAGCAGCTCATCTACCTATCAAAATTCGAAATCCAGTGAACCAACTTATAATAACATCGTGCGCAAACCGTCACAACATAAGCGCAAAAATTCTTCGAGCACCGATAGCGGCATCTACTACGCCTCCTGTCATTGCACCTCTTCTGTCTTGTCTTCATCAGCTACATCCTCTTCTTCGCTGTGCTCGACAAGCGCCTGTGGCTGCTCCACTTCATCCAACCAATCGCGCAGCTCACTCGATCAAAAGAAAAACTATCTCTGTAAACATTTGTATATAAAATCGTATCTAGATATTTTGGAGGAAGACGAGAAGGCGCACGCTCACTTCAAATCGGCTAAACCGGGCGGCATACGCAATTACAAACCGAAAATTTTGGGTGAAACCGCGTTATCAACCAGTGCACCACAGAGTACAGGATTTAGTATCAGCAGCAACAACTTAAAACTGCGTGAGAAGTGTAAGGAAGATCCGTGGATTTGACAATTACTGAAAAATGGCATTTGGCACAATGACATCTTTGCTTGGAATGATTCCCCTGTTAGCGATCGGCATGAACTACTATCGTTATCAAAGTATCGATCCAGAGAACAGAGTGCAGGAGCCGCAAATGGTGAGTAGGCGCCCATTTATGTGCCAAGAAATCCATTATAACCTAATATTTCTCTATCTTTATCTCATTATTTCACTAGACGCGTCGCCAATATGACTTTATAGTTGTTGGTGGCGGTTCTGCTGGAGCAGTCATAGCCAATCGCCTGTCGGAAGTACGTAACTGGACGGTTCTATTGCTCGAAGCTGGCGGTGATGAGACCGAGATATCAGATGTACCCGCGCTTGCTGGCTATCTACAGCTCACCGATTTAGACTGGAAGTATACGACAACACCTTCACCTACGCGTCAATACTGTCAAGCGATGAAAGGCGACCGCTGTTTTTGGCCGCGTGGCAAAGTACTTGGTGGTTCCAGTGTGCTCAATGCTATGGTTTATGTGCGTGGTTCCAAAAATGACTACAATCACTGGGAATCACTCGGTAATCCCGGTTGGGGCTATAAAAATGTACTTAAATACTTTTTAAAATCGGAAGATGTGCGTAATCCCTACCTAGCCAAAACCGGATATCACGAAACTGGCGGTTATCTAACTGTACAAGAGTCACCTTGGCGCACACCGCTATCCATCGCCTTTCTGCAAGCCGGCATGGAAATGGGCTATGAGGTGCGAGATATAAATGGACAGCAGCAGACCGGTTTCATGCTGACACAGAGCACTATACGCAGAGGGTCGCGTTGCAGCACCGGCAAGGCCTTTATCAGGCCCGTTCGTTTACGTAAGAATCTTGATGTGCTGTTACACGCACACACCACTAAAGTGCTCATCGATAAAAATAAGCGCGCCATTGGCGTTGAATTCTTAAAGAAAGGGCAAAAAAACGTGGTTTTTGCGCGACGTGAGGTGATATTGTCAGCCGGCGCTTTGAACTCACCACAACTGCTGATGTTATCAGGCATCGGACCTGCCGATCATCTGCAAGAACATGGCATCAATGTAATATCAGATTTACCGGTGGGTGATAACTTGCAAGATCACGTCGGTTTGGGTGGCCTAACCTTTGTGGTGGATGCGCCACTCACGGTCACACGCTCACGCTTTCAAACCATACCAGTCGCTATGGAGTACATTTTGCGCGAGCGCGGTCCTATGACGTTCTCCGGTGTGGAAGGTGTTGCCTTTCTTAATTCGAAATACCAAGATCCATCAGTTGACTGGCCAGACATACAATTTCACTTTTTACCCAGCTCCATAAATTCAGACGGTGGCGAGCAGATACGTAAAATTCTAAATCTACGTGATGGTTTCTACAACACCGTCTACAAACCGTTACACAACTCTGAGACCTGGTCTATCTTGCCACTGCTACTGCGTCCCAAGAGCACCGGCTGGGTGCGCCTCAATTCACGCAACCCATTACAGCAGCCCAAACTGATACCCAACTACTTTGCTCACCAGGAAGACATCGATGTGCTTGTCGAGGGTATTAAATTGGCCATAAATGTCTCGAACACACAAGCCTTTCAACGTTTCGGTTCACGACCACACAACATACCGTTACCGGGCTGTCGCCACTATGATTTCATGTCCGACGCCTACTGGGGTTGTGCCATTAAACAGTTCACCTTCACCATATACCATCCAGTGGGTACATGCAAAATGGGTCCCAGCTGGGATGTCACCGCTGTCGTAGACCCCCGCCTGCGTGTTTATGGCGTGTCCGGTATCCGCGTAGCGGACGCAAGCATTATGCCAACCATCATGAATGGCAATCCCAATGCGCCGGTCATTATGATTGGCGAAAAAGCGTCTGACCTCATAAAGGAGGATTGGGGTGCGCGGCCGCCATGGCATTATGGCTAAGGCACTCAACATGAATGTAGCCATGCGTGCTTTTTACAAATTAACACTTTCGTTGTTCCATTTAGTGTTTCATTAATGCTTTCGCAAACTATGTGACTAGTCAATTTTTCTACCATTTTTAAGTTTTACTTTTTCATTCGTTTGCTTCGAAATAAAAGCTATTATTTTTGTTATTTTTATTTGAAATTTGTGAAATTATTTTTAAGCTGCCTACATCAGTAAAATATTTGATCGCCTCATTGTAAATTCATCGCTGCCTACTTAGGTTCGTCCATATTTTTAAGACTTACGCGCGTAAGATACAAAATACAACTTATTAAGTTGTATATTTATTTATTAATTTAGTTTACAAATAAAGATACCATTATAAGATATAAATATGAGAAAAACACTATTTGGAGTATTTTAACTGATGATTCGGGGAAATGAAAGGTGTGAACGCGTTTTGTTTCAAATGAATCATATGAAGACCGATAAAAGTGAACGGATTTCTCTCATCAATCACCTTGTATTTTTTTTTATTGAAACGTCTAGTACAACACATAAGTCCGAAATATTGACGCCGCAAATGCTCCCTCCCTAACTTATAGCTCACGAAGTCAGGCTGTTCTGTTTCCACGCGGTTAGTTAGAGCTAATGAAGTTAATTTGCTATGATGAGGATTCATTTGAATAAAACGAATTAGGAATTTATTGGTCTTCATCCTCTTAAGAGTCACTCAAAAGATCTTTCTCAGTATAAAATTTTGAGAGTATGTCTACAATCTTAGACCCCAAAGAACACTCACCTTGCTCAATGCTTTCCACATCACTCGAAAACTCCATGAGATGTTCCTCAACTTCACCCATCTCATTATCCGATGTTAGATGGTCGACATCATCGGCATCAGACTTTTAGAATATGATTTTGCCCTTCGTGAATCCTTAGTTGATCTCCCAACCTCTTTTTGCCAGCGGTTCGCCCTTGTCAATAGCAGGAAGATCTGCAACGTGGCCGTTTTAGATTCCACACCAGATTCTGCTGCGAGGTCCTCGAAAGCCTTAACGAAATTCCATTCCGTATGTATGACGTTAGCGGATCCAGATTGCTTAATAGCACGTCCAATGCTACGTTTGTCAGCGCAGCTTGCACCCCTCTCCATTGGGCTCTGAGAGTTTTTCCCTCTGGATCACTTTCAACCAGCACGCCAATAATAATGTGGTTCGATTTCGGAATGATTTTACGAGTGTCACATGTTTTAATCCGACTTTAAAATCAGCCAATCGAGTGCGAAATTAAATTTAGTACTTTCCACCATTGCAATATAAACATAACGGTTAAAGTTTAGAAAATTTTATGTTTTGACCACATTTAATAAGTACCCCAATGTATGAACAAGAGTTTACGTTTTTAAAGGAAAACTGCTTGCGTTTCAGCCTTTTGGATTAATTTGTAGTAAACCAATTCCAAAACCGCATAAGAATTTCAAATCGAGCAGCACACAAAAACTTTTCTCAAGGCAGAAAATAGCATAAGATCTTCCAAATTCTACTAAAAGTATAAAAAGTCATCCTAAATTAACAGGTTATATCGATTAGAAAAGATAAGTATAAGATCTTGTATGGCAGCTATATGCTATAGTGTTCTGATCTGCACCATTTTTTCGGAGATTGTCGCGATGTTTTGTTTACATATATACTTTATAAGGTATCCGACGTTGCCTTCTGAGTGTTTTCACTTCGTGGTAAACTTAGTATACCCTGTTCAGGGTGTAAAAAAGGAAGTGCTTGGAATTACACTGAGAATTTTATTAGCGTAACCACGATAGGAGTATAAATATTGATCAACTAATAAAAGTTATGGTATTTCTTCAAATTTGAAAATTTAAAACCTTAAAACTGCAAACTTTCAGAATAAATTAGTATTAATAGCTGTATTGAAAAAATACTGAATTAGTATTTATAATAGTGGAACAATTTGCGTTTTACATATTGTTTTCAAATTAATTACTTATATTTAAAGCTTTAAAATGCATAAATCCACTAATAAAACGCCTAAAAGTATGCAATGAGTATAAGAAGCTGACAAAAGACAGTGCTGTAGTCAGAATATATTCACATAGGAATTCAATTTGGAAATTGGTAAAAATCCGTAACTTTATTTCTTTCCCTATCTATTGTACTTCTAACCTTACTTTAAAAATATATACTACAATAGTAATGACAATAAGTAGAAAAAATTCAAATACGCAACTTGGTATTTTTCTCAGGGAAGTTTAGTGAAAGTGTTGAATAACAAATTTGTATGGCTTACATACTTAAAGCCAGTGCTGGCATACACAACTTCTGCAACAACGTTTGCAACGCCAAATCAACTGTCTGTGAGACACCCAGCATATCAGCGACGGTCTCAAACTCAGGACGGCCTATGTGGTAAGCGTTGTCGTAAGCACGTAAATAATATGCACTTACCCTTATACCCACCATACACCACCGCACCTTTTTGACGTAAAATTTATAGCTTATTCAATTATGAGAAGCTTTGGACATGCCTAAAGCTCCTGTGATGAGTGTTGATGAGTGCATTAGCCTAACAATGAGTGAAGAGTGGGCATGACATTTAATGTTTGCTTTTCAGCAAATTTCATAAGTCCATAACGGTAATTAGCTAAGATGCATTGGTGTGCTCAGCGCGACGGCAAAGCGGCTCATTGTGTGGCGACGGTGTCAGCCATTGGGTGTTGATCACGTCACTTCCACTGTTTCGAGCGTGATCACCTTGACACGCCTACCTACTTGTATGTGTGACAGTTATACGCGCTGTCAAATTATGACATATTCACACTTTTTTTGTTGGGTTGAATAACTGAGGAAAGAGCTAGAATTTATACTTTTTGTCGTAGTTCGAACTTTAAGTAGCGCGTTGGTTAAGGTACCGAAGATGGCTGAATTTCCAAAAATTTGCGATTCGAAGACTTACCTGTAAATACAAAGAAAGGGTACATTTTATTAAGACAATAAAACAATTATATTTATGTATGGAAATAAATCTATTTATAAGCAAAAAATATTTAACATTTACTTTATACACTTATTTTTAATGTGCTTCTCCTTTACTTCACTAATTACTTCGAATAAGGCACTTCCGCAAAATTTCGCTTGACTCCCATTTTGCAGCCAGTCAACAATTTTATGTAAGTAAAAGTCAAAAGTCAAGCCATTTTCTGCCGCTTATGGACTAAGTCTAGTGTGCGCGCAGATCAGTCAAACATCTTTAGTAACTCGCGTTGCAGCACTGATCGCGGCGGATCACTGATCACAGACAAAGTAGTGCAACTACGACGACGGAGTAGCAGTCGTTGAATGACCGTTAACCAACAGCGTTCGGACAGCTGATCGCAGGCACCTTTTGAAGTAGTTAAAAGCGTTGCCGGATAATTGGTTGCGCGCCAGTTGATGAATCACGAATCAATCAAGCGTTGAATTTAATGATATTATTAACGGATCAAATGGTGAAGCGCACTCATTCACCAATCAAGGGATTAAGCGGAAAATTTGCGCTAAATTGAAATAGTGCTAACATTTATACATCAATTTAATACCGCCAACAATTGTAGGTGGGCGCATAGTTAGAGGTAATTGTGAGTTTACGGCAGAGGTCCATGGAAGTAATTGAAAAACGGCAAACGGAAAAAGAGGCAATAAAAAGAAATAAATGCATAAACAATAAATGGATGGATAGGTGGTCAAATAAGCTGAGCTATAAAAGATTTGATTGATTTTTATTTTAAATCTGGTAATACAACTTTAACCCTCTTAGGAAAAAGTAATTCGCTTCAGAGCTGTTCGAAAACAATAAAAGTTTCCTTTGTTTCAAAAAGCTGGATCAATCGTATTCGAGTGATTACAGAATAGGAAATGCTTAATTAATATCGATTCAGTTTCGGGGTTTTGTCACCCAATTTATGAGTTATCAAAAAAGACACAGGAAAAATCAAAAAACTAAAAAATTGGAAGCATTTCGGTAACCGACTAAAATACGATTTTTATTAACAAAAAAATGTATGTTTCACAGTGTTACCAAAATGTATAAGAACATTAGAAATTTAGGGAAATATTCAAGCTTTTACAACGAAAGCTTCTTGAAAAATGTCATAATACAGTTTTCCATAAAATCGATTCAATTTTTTCTATTGAAAGCATCCTGAAACATTACACAATAAAACTTTCAACTATTTTTTTAGCGAAAACTTTCCATAAAATCATACATACATACATTTTTTTAGTCCAACCTTTGCATTGGAGCTTTTCATAAAATCGATTCAAGGTTTTACATTGAAAGCTTCTTATAAATTGCATAATGGTTTTGACCTTTTTAGTTAAAACTTTGCATGGAAGTTTTGCATAAAATCGATTTAAGATTACATTGAAAGATTTTTGGAAAAATGTATAATGGTGCTTTCGACCATTTTTTAGTGCAACTGTGTATTGTAGCGGACTTTGAGTCTTATGAATTTTGATTTGATTACCTCAACTTATATACAATTTACTGTATATATTTATTAGACTTCTTTATTATAATTATTTTTAATAACATCTACCACGGTGGTGTATGATTGTTATATGGTTTTTAGTAAACGCTTTCCATAAAATCGATGATTTTGTAATGTGCTTTAGCTTAGCAATAGTGATAAGTTTCATTTTTATATTTACAATTTGATACTATTCATAATCTGAAAGACTCAATTTTTATTTAATAATGTCTGGCGACGATACATTATATTTTTATGTCTAGTATTATACGATTTATTGTTACATCAATAACTGCCGGAGCACTAGCTGAGTTTTAATGAAGAGACAGGAAAAAATTGGAAACAATATATGTATATGTACACCAGTGTGCGAATTTGACGTAATCGAAATGTTCAGGTAACTTTGCATAAAAAAAGAAGAAGAAGAAGAGCAAGGAAGCGAACTTAAACAAAGTATTAAAAGTGAGCTGAAATCACCAAAGTAAAGCGCTGTCAATATGTTGGGTATCAAAACAAAGTAAATCCACATACACACCTACTTGCATGTGAGTATTAGCAGCCGCCATCATACGCCATTGTTGCTGAACAAGTCGTTTTACCTGTTGTCTGCTCATCCCGCTCCCTGGGAATTTGGGTCTGTAAAAGACAACATTTATCGTCTACCAAAAAACTGTGTATGATCCCAGCATCGCCGTTAACTCCACAATGTAAGCAATACTACGACGTAATGACAACAACAATAAAACCAACAACTATAACAATACGCAATGCAAACAATAATCATGCATATTGTCGCGCAATCAGAGAGCTGCTTGGCAAATGATTGCAACAACAGCAACATTCACACACATATACACATAACATACATATGTGT